GGGTTCCATCCCCAGTGAATGGCATCCAGCCGTGGGTTCCATCGCCCACGGGTTGCATTGCCCATGGGATATCTCACCATGGGGTCCTCTCACCTGTGAGTCCTTGTTCATCGTTTGTGGACGATGAGAACTCACCTTGAGTTCTCTTGTCTGTGTTCATCCATGAGTCCCATCACCCGTGGGTTATGTTCACCCGTAGGTGCCATCCCCCATGAGTCACACTCACCCTTAGGTCCCGTTACACATGGGTTACATCCACCCATACGTCCTATCACCCATGGCTGATCTTCGTAGGTCCATAGCCCATGGCTTTTGTTCACCCACTGTGCCATTGCCTATTGGTTACATCCACCCATACCTCCCATCACCCATGGTTTGTGCTCTCCCATGTGGCCAGTAGGTTGCACTCACCCATGGGACCTCTTCCCCCACGGCTCCCATCACCGGCCGCTCTCCTCACCCACGGGTCCCCTTGCTGGTGGGTTGCACTCCCCCACCCATGGGATCTGCCCGTGGATCCTGGTGCGTGTTGGTAGCCACGCTTGTGGGTTCTCTTATCTGTGGCTCCTCCTGCTTTTGAGCACCACTCACCCGTGGATGCCCTCACCCATGGGTGCCATCGCCGCAGGACCAGCGCTGGGACGTCCCATAGGAGGCACTGAGGTGATCGTGGTCACGGGCTGGCTGTGGGGACGCGGTGGTGGCAGCGGGAAGGACGTGGCCAGATGTGTTTGCTGTCATCTTGCAGATCAGAACCAGCTTTTCCCCACTCGTGGCTCAGCATTCCCCATCCTCTGGGCTGTTCTACCCTTAAAGCCAAACTCTTACAGCCCTTCCAGGACGCGCTGGCTGTGCACGGAGCTCTCCTGCTCTGTGCTGCGTCGGTGTTTTTCCACCAGGCTCTGTCATTCCTTGGTTGAGCGCGGATTGATTCGGTCTCTGTTGCTTGAGAGCAATGTTTTGTGTAAAACCCCACGTCCCGAAGGCGCTCCGGGGTTTGGTTATAGGCACTGCCTTTTGGCTGCTGTTTGTAAAGGGGTCCTTTCATTGGAGCTCGGGTTTATTCAGCCTCTCCGAACCCCGAATCTGTAAGCAATTATTCCACGACATGAAAAGTCGGCACTCTGGAAAGGATTAATTCAGACCAGATGTAAAAATAAATGCGAATTTCAAATTAAGATGATGTCAGCTCCCTCCTGCTAAAAAAAAAAAGACCCAAAAAAAAAAATAAAATAAAAAAGCAGCGCTGTGGACTCCAGATGGAATATACAAATTGTGGCTGTGGTTAAAATATCTGCCTGGCTCGTTAATTTAGTTTGATGCTTTCTTTTCTGACGTTTCTCAGGCCCTGCTGGGGAAGGGCGAGCGGAGCCTCGACGGTGCTTTTAGGGCTGCATGGAACAATTTGGGGCGGCCGGGGGGGTTCCAATGGGGGACTGCAGCTCTGTTTGCCCCAACCCGGAGCCGGACACAGAGATGCTGTGAGCTCTGGAGGGAGCGGACGGGGCTGTCGGTGTTCAAGGCATCATTGTGTGCGTTTTGGCATAAAATGGAGCTCGTTTCGGTGTAAAATGGAGCTTGTTTTGGCACATCCTGCCTGGGACATGGGCGGTTTTGCAACCACCAACCCGCTCCCGTGGGTGAGGGCTGGGGCTCGGGGCAGGGCAGCGCTTCCCCACGTGTGGTTATGAACCCTCATCTCCTTCCCCTGGCAGATCAGCCCTGTCCTGGGGCTACACCACGGCGTAAGTGGGGGGCGTAGAGCTGAGCCCCAGCTGCTTTGTGGCAGCTCAGCTCCTGCCCGGAGCACGGCCATGGGATATGGGGCTCCCAAAAGGGGTTTCTGTACAGAAATCCTCTGAGCCTTCCCAAAAGCACATTTGGGGAGCTCGCCCTGGTTTGAGGCACCGCTCAGGCGTGAGGCTGCTGCAGGGCTTGGGTTTTGTTTTCGTAGGGACTTCCATAGTTTGGAAATGGCTCTTTATTACCCTGCTCCCTATGGCTGCTTTGTGGTTGGAGAGCAGAACCCACAGCAAGTCCAAGGCCAAGATCCACAGGATCTCTGGGTGCTGCTGTCAGCATGGGCTCGCTCCCCATGGAAGTGGAGGCAGCACTGCTTCCCTCTGCGGGCATCCTCCAGAGCTGCTGTCCTGCAGCTTGAGCACTGGGAGAATCTTCCTTTGTTGACACTGGGACATCCTCCCTTGGTGACACTGGAGGCATTGGTGGCACAGGCAGATCCTGCCTTGCTGATGCTGGCAGATCCTCCTTTTGTGGCAAGGAGCGATCCTACCTTGGTGACGCAGGGAGCCTTGGTGGCACCAGGAGATCTTGGTGGCTCCGAGAAATCCTGCATTGGTGGCACTGGGAAGTGTTGTCTTGGAGGCACTGGGAACACCTGCCTTGGTGCTAACAGGGCTGGGGAATGTTTCACAAAGGCCCCGGAAGGCGTGGGGGGTTGAATGGGGCGGCGAGGCGTGAGGTGCCGGGGCGCACAAAGCCCCTCTGTTCCCTGCTCTCCTCGCATAACCCACAGCTCCAAGCTCTCCTCCTCCTGGCTCTGCTGCGGGGATAATTGCTTCCAGCCGGGTGCCAGCCGCCCTGCAGCTCCTCCTTGGTGGAGACCCGAGTGGCTCTCATGCATTTTTGGTTTCTGATAGGGGTGGTTTGTGTGAAGCTTCGGGACGATGCTCAGTATCTCCAAAATACCCAAGAAACAAGGCTGGCTTTGTCCCCCGGGACGGAGCACTGCATGCACCCAGGGGGCCAGTTTGGAATCCCGAATGTCCCCAGATGTCCCCAAGCTGATGGCCGTGGGGTCCCTGCAGTCCTTTGGGGGCAGCGCTGGCCCCCAGCCCAGCACCCAAGCGGCGTTGTGGTGGATGAAGTAATGCCATATTTATAACCCGGCCCTTTTTTCCCACTGAAGGGCTCTTTCATCTCCCTCTGTTCGTTATGAGGAAACTGTTGAGTTCGTGGAGAATCGGAGACGATTTTAATTACGGGGCGACCGCAAGCGTGCATTAATGTGGCTGTCGGGTTCGGAGACGCTGCGCTGAGCGCCGGCCCTACAACTTGTAGGAACAGCTTGCGCATACCTGCGCCCTGTGATGTGGGGCAGAACCGACTCTGAACTCTTCCAAACAAGAAATTCCTGCCCCGTGAATTCATCTTCCCATCCAGCCCTGCACTTTGTTCTGCTTTTCCTCTCCGATTGCCCTCCCGTAATCCCTTCGTTCGCCGCTATTGTGGCTCAGCAGCGCTGAAACAAAAGCTGGGGACGGGCAGAGGGGAGGAGAGAGCTGATGGGACAGAAGTTATTAAAAGCAAGCAAATGAGCAGGGTGTACTGATATAATATGGTGCAGCTGGGGGACCCGAGTGCTGCGTTATGGGTGCGTCTTGGGGATGAGCCACGTTCCCGAAGGGAAAGCACCAACATAAAGCTGTGCCAAGCCTGAGCCCTCCGTGCCGTGTGGATTTTGCAGCTGCTTTGCTTGGCTGCTCAAAGTTACTCGTGGGGAAAGTTTGCTGGGGATCTCTCTACAAATAATGGAATCCGAGGGGCTGAGCCTGGCTGCAATCCTCTCGTGCCGCTCCCAGCCCGCAGCCGTGCATGTTCAGTGCTCGTGTCAGTGCTTGTTTGGGCACACGGGGAGAAAAATACCTGTTTGCTGGGAATTTTCCTATCGACCACAGAGAGATGGAGTTTGCCCCCGGCTCAGGGTTAGCCAACAACAGCACGTTGGGGCTTCTTTTCCCTTTTTTAAGCCTTTCCGCCCGGTGCCGGCGGGCGTTTTTTGGGGAGCTGCGTTGGGGCGGTGCTGCGGGGGCTGAGGGGCACCTTTGGGTGGCAGTGGGTGCAGAGGGTGCTGGCACTGAGCACGCCCAGCCTCGAGGTGTGCTGCCCTCCCCACCACCACCGGCCGCAGCTGCATCACACCCAGCCCTGCAGCGGGCACTGGAGCTGCCAGGTGCCCGGCCGGGGTGTGGGCACTCACCAAATACCTTCAGCCCCATTTTGTTCCCTGCTGGGATTTTTAATGAAGCTTGAAACAAGCCTGGCCACTGTGCTGCTCGTTCCCAGTCAGGATTGATCATGTCTGGGCTTGGTCACGGTGTGCAGATGCAAGGCATGAGCGCCGTGCGCAGCCACGTTGCGTGGATGCAGGGCATCATGCAGCGCATGACCACAATGCATGACCACAGTGCATGGATGCAAGGCAAAAAACCGTGCTGCATGGTCACAGTGCATGCATGCAGTGCACATTTACAGCGCAGGCACGGCTGTGATGCACGTACACAAGGCACAGCCGTGATCCAAGGCTGCACAACTCCTTGGTGGTGCAAACCCTCTGGATTTCCCAACTCCTGCTAACCCCCAGTAGCTACCTAACATCATCTCGCCTCGGGGCACTTCTTTCTCTGCTGTAGAAATATAAGAGTGAAATGGTTTTGGAAACCAAACATGTTGTCATGTAGACCAAAGCTATTATTTGGTGAAGAGAGAGGCACCGAGGCGTCCTCAGAAAAAAAGAGGATTTGCTTTGATTCTAAAGATCCGCGCTCGTTATTTCACACGTGCATTTGTGTCCCTCTGGATAGAGATGGCATAAAGAGCACTCCAGGAGTATTTGCCCTGGGATCTGGGCTGTGAGGGGTGGCAGTGCCCTGGCTCCTCACCCAGCGCTTGCTGGCTTTCTGTGAGACAGGGATGCTCCGGAATGGGTGCGGGTCCTGCGGCCGGAGATGGCAGAGAAGAGCCTGCTGTGTTCCCAGCATAGAGACTTTTTTGGGTTATTATTCTACGATGCCAGGAAAGGCATTTCTGAGGTTTTTCTGAAATAGAGCCGAGAGGATAAAACCGCTGCTTCAGGCTTTGGGGGCTGAGCTGCAATCCCACGCTGCCCAAGGGAAGGCCAGCAGTGTCACGGGTGGGGCTGTGGGATGGGGTCTGGTGTGATGGGGTCTGGCGTGGGGCTGAGCACCCCTATCCCACAGGGATGGCGCCCGTGGGGACCGAGGCCGCCCCGTCCTGCCGGTGAGGTGCCCACTGCCCCCAGCCCAGCCCGGCCGTGCTGCCCACGATGAACAAGCTGCCCTTCCACAACAACCGAGTCATGCAGGACCGCCGCAGCGTGTGCATCTTCCTCCCCAACGACGACTCCCTCAACATCATCATCAACGTAAGCCTGTGGGCCCTGGGGTGCTCTTTTCCAAGCTCTCCTTTGGCTTCTGCTTTCGATTTTGAGCCCCTCGCCCTCTCCTTGCTGGAGAAACCCACATGGCACATCCCTCTGCATCAGCACTCCGCGCTCTCCAGCTTCTTGAACCGTGGGCACCGAGCACAAAATTCCCACACTTGGCTTCTTTCTTTAATTTGGTGCTCCCCAGTATTCCATTTTCTGCCCACTTTGGCTTGCTAACGGGGACTCACCTTTGGTCCCCATGGGAAACCAAGATCCGGATCCCAGCTGGTGACAGCGCTTGGGGACACGGCGGGGGTGGGTGCTGCCGTCCACGGTTTGCACCCAGGGCACACGTTTGCTTTCCACAGGTGAAGATCCTATGCCACGAGCTCCTCGTGCAGGTGTGTGACCTCCTGAGGCTGAAGGACTGCCACCTCTTTGGGCTCAGCGTCATCCAGAGTAAGTGTGGGGCTCACCCCATGGCCCCGGTGACAATGGGGACGCGTCGCGATGCTCACCCTGCCCAACTGCCCCCCAGACAATGAGCACGTCTACATGGACCTGGCCCAGAAACTCTACAAGTACTGCCCCAAGGAGTGGAAGAAGGAGGCCAGCAAGGTCAGCGGTGAGGTGTTGCATGGAGAGATGACGGCACTAAGGCCACCTCTGTCCCCGGCGCAGGTCACTGTCCCTGCGCAGCCGCGGGCTGGGGGTGGGCATGGTGCTGAGAGCCCCTTTGGGTGGTGTGGGGGGTGAAGGCAGCGCTCGGTGGCTGTCACCCCAGTGCCACCACGCCACGTGGGGACGTGTGGTGTGGAATCCTATTCCTCCCTTGTTTCCCAATGGGTGAAGGGATGGGATGGAATGGGACGGAGGAGGGATGGGGAATGTGGCTGCCAACCCGATGGGGTTTTCAAACCCAGCCTTTACGTTTTATAACTCCAAATCTCCTTTGTTTGTTGACATGAGGCAGATTTGGGGGGAAAATGAGAGGCGGTGGTAGGGAGGGGATTTGCCAAGACCAGCCCTTGTGCTGAGGGCAGCACTGGAGCCCGGTGTGTTGCGTGACACCAGGATGTCCTCAGGGACCCTGAATGTGTTCTGTGTTCCAGGGGATCGACCAGTTTGGCCCCCCCATGATCATCCACTTCCGAGTGCAGTACTACGTGGAGAACGGCCGGCTGATCAGGTGTGAGGCCGTGGCACTGCCAGAAAACCAGATTTCTGCAAAAGAAGTGGGAAATGGCACATCTTTCAGGAGTGTTCAGGCCCCCAGTGCTCACCCCTTTCTGTTAGCTCCGTTGTACTGTCTCTGTCCCTCCCCATCTGTGTGCCAAGTGACCCCTCTCCAGGAACACAGAAACCAACGGTGACCCTCCTCCTATCCCATAACAAAGACATTGTGGCACTGAGGGACGAGCATGCTGGGGATGGGCTGGGATTGGTCTTTTCCAACCTCAACAGTTCCATGATCCTGTGATTTTGGGGGTTGGGGACATCAGATTTAGGAGTTTATCACTCACGTGCCCAAAGCCAGGAGGGAGCTATCAGAAAACCATTGTCAGGTCTGCCCCCCTCTGGGACGTGCTGGGGACACGGTGGCCACGTGGGGATGCTTCTGTAGGGTTGTAGGGTTTTGTAGGGGTTTTGTGGGTCCTGGCTGCAAACTGCACAGCTGCTGGGGTCCCCTCCAGCATCCCCAAATTTCTCATCCCTGCAGTGACCGCACAGCACGGTACTACTACTACTGGCACCTGCGCAAGCAAGTGCTGCACTCGCAGTGTGTGCTGCGAGAGGAAGCCTATTTCCTGCTCACTGCCTTCGCCCTGCAAGCTGATCTGGGAGATTTCAAGCGCAACAAGCACTATGGGAAGTACTTTGAGCCTGAAGCCTATTTTCCTGCCTGGGTAAGTGAGGCTGTGGGGCTCGAGGCGTCTCCTACTGCTCTCTGCACTCTGCTTGCAGCAGAAGGGGTGATGCTGCTGTGTCCACACTTTGTGGTTATTAATAACCAGTGACAACTGTGGGGCTGCAAATAGCTGTAGGCGTGGGTTGGGGTTGGGCAGTAGCATCAGCACCGCTGATGGGGATTTCCCTGTGTTTGCTATGGGGTTGTTCACTGCGGGGCTGCCCTGCGTGCCAGCTGGCACTGTGGTGTCACTCGGCCGTCCCTACGTGTCCCCTGCAGTCTGTGCAGCCCTGGTGTCCCTGTGCACAGCCCATCCCCCAAACAAGCCCAGTTGTTAGCTGACCGGTACATCCATGACTTAAGGAGATGCAGCGATGGGCAGCACTTGCAATGCTCCAACACCAAAAAGCTGAGCCTTCCCCAGGGCGTCCCACAGCCCAGGCTGACGGGATGGGAAAATGAATAAAAGCTGTAGGTGCTGCTGCCTGCTTTGATTTATGATGAATATTCCTTGGCTTTGCCCCAGATCTGCCTGCTTTGCTGTTGTTTGTACTCATGACGGCTGCAGGGCTGTACCCCTGCCCTGTGGGAAGCCTGGTGTGTAGGAATGGCTAGTTCTGTGCTGCTGATGGGGTTTTTGCCACCAGAAGTTGAGCATTACAAGGACTGAGCCCTGCAAATCTCTGCAGCAGAAGGCTCTGCTCCGATTTTCCATTGCCATGGATGATCTTCTCATCTCCTTCAACCAGGTGGTGGCGAAGCGGGGCCGGGACTACATCCTGAAGCACATCCCCAACATGCACAAGGATCAGTTTGCCCTGACGGCCTCCGAAGCCCACCTTAAGTACATCAAGGAGGCCGTGCGGCTGGACGACGTGGCCGTGCACTACTACAGGCTGTACAAGGTAGGAGTGGGGCTGCTGCTCAGCCCTAACCCTGCCGTGGGCTGGTTGCCCCCCACCAGGCTGCCCACAGCCCCATCCAGCCTTTTATTCATCCCCAAGCCCAACCCCAGCCTTCCCCAGCCCACTGATTGTATCTCTCAGTCCAAATCCATGGCTCTGGATCACCTCCACGGACAGTGACCCCACCACTCCATAGGCAGCTGTGCCACTGCAGCACTGCTCTTTCAAAGCAGAAATGACTCCTAATATCCAACCTGAATCTCCCCTGGCACGACTTAAAGCCTTCTTTAAGTTCCTTCAGAGTTTCCTCCTTAGTTATGGACATTTTGGGGATGTGAGGTGGGACCAGCTGAGGATGCAACCTGCAGTGTGTGTGCATCATTAATTGTGCAAGCCCAGCATGCAACATCTGCTGCAGCAGGGGATGGGGAAACCAGAAGGGACAGCTGGGTTTTGGAGGCAGATTCATCCACTTTATCATAGAACCACAGAACGGCCCGGGTTGGAAGGGACCTCAAGGGTCACGAAGCTCCAACCCCCCTGTGCCATGCAGGGCCACCAACCTCCACATTTCACAGCAGCCCAGGCTGCCCAGGGCCCCATCCAACCTGGCCTTGAACACCTCCAGGGATGGACGGGGCATCACAGCCTCTCTGGGCAGCTGTTCCAGCACCTCACCACTCTCACAGCACACAACTTCCCCCTGACATCCAACCTAAACCTTCCCTCATTTGCACTTTATGGTACAAATTTAAAAGCATCTCATATTTCCCCTCAGGACAAGAGGGAGGTGGATGCATCGCTGACACTGGGGCTGACGACGCGGGGCATTCAGATCTTCCAGGTACGCAGCTCCTGCTCCCAGCTCCATCCCTGCAGGATGCCCCCACTACCACCCTCATCCACCTTTATCATTGAATCACAGAATCACAGAATGGCCTGGGTTGCACAGGAGCACAGTGCTCATCCAGCTCCAACCCCTGCTGTGTGCAGGTCACCAACCAGCAGCCCAGGCTGCCCAGAGCCACATCCAGCCTGGCCTTGAATGCCTGCAGGGATGGGGCATCCACAGCCTCCTTGGGCAACCTGTGCCAGTGCCTCACCACCCTCTATCTGCTTACAGAACCTGGACGAGGAGAAGCAGCTGCTCTATGACTTCCCCTGGACCAACGTGGGCAAACTGGTGTTTGTGGTGAGTGCGGAGCCGCGCACAGCAGCGCTGGTTTGTGGCGCGGCGCTCCGAAGGGACTGAGCTTCCCCATCTCCTGCACAGGGCAAGAAGTTTGAGATCCTTCCAGACGGGCTGCCCTCGGCCAGGAAGCTCATCTACTACACGGGCTGCCCGCTGCGCTCCCGCCACCTCCTGCAGCTGCTGAGCAGCAGCCACCGGCTGTACATGAACCTGCAGCCCGTGCTGCGGCAGGTCCGCAGGCTGGAGGAGAACGAGGGTAGGTGCCCAACGTTCCTGCCTGTGTGTGGATGTGGAGCTGCCCTGCGGGTTCCTGTGATGGTCCTGTTCTGATTCTGTCCGATCAGAAATGCTCCCCTGGCTGTGGTGGATGCCTGCAGACCCCTGGAAATGGTTGCATGCCCTGCTGTGGTCCCTGAGGGTCTCAGTGCTTCAGTGCAGTGTTCCCAGCCCTCTTGTCCCTTCCCCAAGCTCAGAAAGCCCTTGCACAAACATGAGATGGTCCTCCTCCTTCTCTTCCTCTTCTTTTTCTTCTTTCTCCTCCTCCTTTTTATCTTTGTCTTTACCTTCTCCTTCTCCCTGTCTTCTTCCTCCTTTTCTTCCAATTCCTCCTATTCCCCTTCCTTTCCTTATTCCTCCTGTTCCTCCTTTTCTTCCTCTTCCTCCTCCTTTCTCTCCCTTCTTCTTTTCCTCTTCCTTCCCTTCCTTTTCTTTCTCTCACTCCTTCTCTTCCTCTTCCTTATCTTCTACCTTTTTTCCCAATTCCTCCTATTTCTGCCCTCCCCCTTCCCTTTCCCCTTCCTCTCCCTCTCCCTCTCCCTTTCCCCTTCCTCTCCCTCTCCCTCTCCCTCTCCCTCTCCCTCTCCCTCTCCCTCTTCCTCTTCCTCTCCCTCTCCCTCTTCCTCTCCATCTTCTTTTTCTTCTTCCTCTTCCTTCTCTACCTTGTCTTCTTCCTCCTCTTCCTCCAATTCCTCCTTTTATTCTTCCTCCTTCTCTTCCTCCTCCTCTTCTTTCTCTTCTTCCTCCATCTTTCCCTCTTTCTCCTCCTCCTCCTTCTCTCCTTCTTCCTCCACTGAAGGAAGGACACAGCACAGAGCCCCGCAGGCCCAAAGCTCCTCACCCACCCCCAGCGGTCTCCAAATGCCATCAAGCAGGGCCGGCTCCCAGTGTACCACCCAGCTGGGTTTGGATCGTTGTCCCACGGTACCGGGGGGGCGCCTGGGTGCCACGTGTGCATTGTGTGTCCATCCTGACAGAGAAGAAGCAGTACCGCGAGTCGTACATCAGCGACACTCTGGACCTGGATATGGATCAGCTGGAGAAGCGTTCGCGTGCCAGCGGGAGCAGCGCCGGCAGCATCCGGCACAAGCGCCTGTCCCGGCACTCCACTGCCAGCCACAGCAGCTCCCACACCTCGGGCATCGAGGCTGACCCCAAACCCCGGGACGTGGGACCCGAGGACGCCGGCGTTCACCGCAAGCTGAAGACCTGCAGCTCCATGACCAGCCACGGCAGCTCCCACACCTCCGGGGTGGAGAGCGGGGGCAAGGAGCGGCTGGAGGAGGATCTGCAGGATGACGGTGAGAGACTGCAGGGTGTGCAAGTTGGGTGCCGGTGGGCTTGGTGGGAGGGAGGAGGGGAGGTGACCGTCCCCATGCCTCCTGGCACAGAGATCGAGATGCTGGTGGATGACCCGCGGGAGCTGGAGAGAGCCGGTGAGCTGGCGCTGGAGGTGAGCCCCGACATGTGTGTGTACATCACCGAGGACATGCTGCTGTCACGCAAGTTCAACGGGCACTCAGGTAATGCCTCCATAGAATAGGGGAATCACACAATAACCCTGAGTTGAAGGGATCCCTAAGAGTCATGGAGCCCTGCTTCAGGCTCCACACCAGGACCACCCAAAAATCAGACTGAGAGCGTTGTCCAAATGCTTCTTGAACTCTGGCAAGCTCAGTGTTTTTGGGAAACTGTTCCATGCCCACCTCCCTCTGGTGCAGCCTTTTCCTGACATCCAACCTGACCCTCCCCTTCACCTCTGCTCCTGCATCTCCTCCATCCTGTGAGATGCAGTGCTGGACAGACCAAAATTAGCATGAGCATTCCTTTGGGATGCAGGGAAAATCTGTCCCATGGCTGCAGGTGGAGATGAGGCGTATTCAGCCTGGTAGAACTGTAAAAATCTTGAGAAAGGTGGAGGTTTTCTTCAGGGGGGGATTCACTTTTTTGGGTGATGCTTATGGAAGTGAAGCACAAATCTGTGCAGGAAACCCCTGCGAGAAGGCATGGTTGGCCAATAAAGGTCAACAAGCAGGGGATAATGGGAGCCATCTGGGGACACAAGGGGACAAAGGTAGCATAGATGGAGCCATTGGGAATAATTTTAGATTTGGATGTCATTTTTGAGTGCCCTCCTCTCCCTCTGTTGAATATCCAAGCTGATGGGGCACAGCTGCCCAGCAGAGGTGGGGTCACCATCCCTGGAGATGTTCCAGAGCCGTAGAGACGTGGCACCGAGGGATGTGGGCTGTGGGCACGGTGGGGGGCAGCGGGTTGGGGATGGGGATCTCGGAGGTCTTTACCCACCTGGGTGATTCTGTGTTTCCACACAGGGCTGATCGTAAAGGAGCTCAGCTCCTCCACCTCCAGCTCCTCAGAGACGGTGGTGAAGCTCCGTGGGCAGAGCACCGACTCCTTACCCCAGGTGAGTGCCACCAGCGCTCCTCTCCCCCCTTCCTGACGGCATTTTGCAGCCCCCCGCACCCCTGACCGCCTTTCCCTCACGCAGACGGCGTGCAGGAAACCCAAAACGTCGACGGATCGGCACAGCCTGAGCCTGGACGACATCCGGCTCTACCAGAAGGACTTCCTGCAGCTGGCAGACCTGTGCCAGGACACGGCGCAGAGCTTCACCTTTGGCTGCGGCCACGGCCTCGGCGACGACGGCCTTTATTGCAACGGCTGCCTGGCCCGGCAGTGCCTCAACATCCAGGAGGGCTTCCCCGCCAAACGGACCAGCAAATACTTCTCACTGGACCTCACCCACGATGAAGTCCCTGAGTTTGTCGTCTGAGGGCGGTGGGGACGGCACCGGCTGCTGCCCAGGGGGGTCCGGGCCCCACCGAGCCCCACTGTGGCCAACCCCGACCCTCCCTGCCATGGGGACGGCCGAGCTCAGGGGGATGGGGATGGGTCCCTCAGCGTCCTTCTGCCTCTGGAAGTCGATGTGTGTGCATGAATCGTCTTGTTTCACCTCGGGGAAGCACGAGGAGCTCATCCGGCCGAAGCCAACCCGTGGTTTCCCAGTGGCAAAGATGGGGATCCTCCCCATACCCGACCCCTGTCCTTAGCGTTGCCACTGTCTGCTGGGAAGAAAATGCCAGACTGCTGCGTCCAAGTCAAGCCAAAGAGATGTAAATACCCCAAAGGCCAGTATGGGAAGCGAGAATCAAGCAATAAGCACCAGGGATGTCTGTGCATGGGGGAGCAACGCTGGAGCCCGGCTCTGAGCAGTGCTGCTCGGGGGCTTCGTGGAGCTTTGTTGTACAAAAACAAATCCAGAAACCAAAAACGCCCCCCAAAAAGGCAAAGGAGAGTGGAGAACGTCATCTGTAATAGTGTCACAATAATGCTTCCCGATGCATAGAAGCCACATATATAAATATATCAAAGTCCGTATGTTTATATATGTCTGGATCTTACAGACCCACCTTCGTTGTATTCCTGCTCCAAAATACCTTTGTAGAAAGGATATACGCCTCTCTCCAGCCAAGCATACAGACAATCATTTGTATTCCAAAGCACCAAGGGGAGAAAATGGACCTTCCCACTGAGGAGAGCACGTATGCAACCGCATTGGGAGCGCAGCTCTGCCCGCAGAGCTTTCTGTGCATCCTTCAGCCTTTATGGATCCAGGAGTTCTGCTCAGCGGTGATGTGTGCCCAGGAGGCAGCCGAGGTGTAACACTCAGTACAGGAGGGTGCGATGCAATGATCACAGCACAATGCCTTCTTAATTGAGATTTTTAATCAGAGTTTAGCGATCGACGGCCAAAGTTTTACCGTATTTTGATATACCACCTTTTTCTTTTTTTCTTTTTTTTTTTTTAAACTGGAAAGTTTTCTTATATATATAAATATATATAAATATATATATTGTTTTATAAATAAGCACAATCTTATTTTTCTAAGGAACGCTGGGGAGGGAGGGGGGATCGGTGCCCAAATAAAGCAGAGCAGAGCTGCGCTCAGCAGATGTTGTGTGCAGTGGGATGAGGTCCACTTGCAACCCAAAGCCATTCTGTGGCTCTGTGATCCAAGGGAATCTCCCGCTCTTGTTTTGGGGTTCCTCCTGAAGCACCCCAAAGCCTCCTGGGCGGTGGGATGGCTCTGACCCCGCATCCCAGGGTGGGATGTGAGGTGGGCAGGAAGGTGCCCCGCACTCATAGCCAGCCTCTGCGGGGGCAGAAGTGCATAAATCATTGCTCAGCAGTGCTCAGTGATGCTGGCAGATCCTCCAGCCCCAAAGCCAGGCTGTGGGATACAGAGATGCTGTTCATGCTGCTGCACGTGCCCGGGATGGGCGTTGGTGGCCTTTGGTACCGCTGGTCCTTCAGCAATAAGGAGCTGTGTGTCTGCAAACTGAATAGTCCTTTCTGTGAAAGGATCCTCCCATCGGGACGGCGTGAGAGCAAGTGGCTGTGTTACAAAATCAGAGGCCAAAAATTACAGCTGAAAGCATAGGGAACCCCAGGGCGACGTGGTTTTGTCACAGTGACCTTCGCCGTGTGCCTTGGGTGGCACGGCCAGAAATGACAATAAAGTGACTGCTGTTTGCATCGCTGTGCCTCGTGGAGGTCGGAGGAGCTCTGGCTCATAAAGAAGAGATGGGACGTGGAGGGATGCTGTGAGCGGGCCACATCTGTCGTGCTCTGCTCCAGCATGGCTGCTTTGGGACAGGCAGGTTTGGTGTCCCCAGCCCTGTCCCCATCCCCAGCCCTGACCCAAGTGGTGGCATTTGCTGCCATCCTGTGGCACCTCTGGGTGGCAGCTGGGCCGAATCCCTGTCCCCATCCCCCGTAGGGCCTCGAGGACAGCAGCCACCAGTGCGATGAGCACGGCCGTTCTCTGCTCTGGCTCATACAAGGTCTCCATCTCGCACTGTGCTGGCTGTGTCCCATTGCTTTGAGATTGTCACAGGTGCCATCCCACTGCCAGCGGGTCCCTGAGCCTGTTTCCAACCCTGGGGAGCAGTGAGTGTTCATTCCATGAACCAGCTTTTCCTTATCCTTTGCTGGAAGGGGGTGTGTATGGGGAGGGGACGTGGGGTATCTGGAGCAGCAGTGAGCTGAGCACCCAGGTTGGAACTAAGTGATCTTTGAGGTCCCTTCCAACCCCATTCTGTGAGTCTGTGACTTGATTCTAAGATGATGAAGGTACGAAGTTACGATGGTGATAAAGACAGGAGGATAACGAGGACGAAGAGATGAAGGTGATGAAGATGAAAATGAGGACATTCCATGGCAGGAGGCTGCCATTGCACAGGCTGCACCTATTCACAGCAGGCTCCAAAAATTGTGGCATGTTATCAGAAACCCCCATTTTCTCCATAAGAATCATTGGTGGGAGTGTGCCCAGAGGAGGGCAGCGTGGTGGGCTCTCAGTTGCTGACTGCCACCTTCTGCTGGTGTGGGATTCTCACAGTTAATTGCAGTATGCAGAAGGGGTGAGCATGAGGCAGCAAGCAGTGGTAGGGCTGCACTGCTGACATGGAACAGGTTGCCCAAGGAGGCTGTGGATGCCCCATCCCTGCAGACATTCAAGGCCAGGCTGGATGTGGCTCTGGGCAGCCTGGGCTGCTGGTTGGCGACCTGCACACAGCAGGGGTTGGGACTGGATGAGCACTGTGCTCCTGTGCAACCCAGGCCATGCTGTGATTCTATGACATCTGACAGCTTGTCCCTATTGCTCCTTCCTAACCCCATGGAGAGGGCTCTTCCCATTTCCACCCCATGCAGCCTCACACCAGCGCTCTCTTTGGGATGCTCTCATGTCCCAGCTGCCAGTTTGACACTTTCACAAGTTCTAGCTGTCACAGAGAAGCTCACATTCCATCTCCAGTTGCCTCCATTCCAGACTTGGCATCTCCTGTCATCGTTCTGGCAGCCTGGCTGGCTGAGGATTTGAGATCTGCAGCTCGACGACGTGCAAACGCCACCTCCCTGGCAGGAGGGCTGACAATCTCTGCATCAAACCCAAGCGAGAGAGTCGACGTGGAACTGGTCACAGCCACGGATCAGCCATTGGGAAAAGCTGATTTCAAGTCAAATAATAATGATAATAATAATTCCCATCTAAGATCCAAATTAGAAGCGCTTGGAATGTGAACCATTGGGACTAAGTGGGAAGCCAAGCACAAAAAGATGCAGTTTAAGAAGGCGAAAACGCTGTGGCAGCGCTATTTTAGTTTTGCTGCTTGGGTGCTTCTCTCTGGGGTCTCGTGCTGGGGGCACCCTTGGGTGCTGCTGGGGGCAGCCCCAGCCTCTCCCAGTGGCTGCCGACCTCAGCCTGCGGCTCATCGCCCCTCCTTCCAGGAAATGTGCATGGGGAGACCATGTGCAGCCTGCAACCCTGTTATGGGTGTGATAAAGGGGGTTTGGGGTTTAATAACAGGGTTTATGGGCTTGACAAGAGGGCTCATCCAGTGCATCCCAAAATTCAACCCCTAGGCACCTGAGGTGAACCCACATCCGGGGTGTTGGAGGTCATTTTGGGGTCCAGATGGAGGAAATACATGATCTTATAAAGAAGTTAACCAGCTCCCCATATCCTAAAAAGATCCTAATCCTAAAATCTGGGCATCGGGGCTTAAAGATTTAACAATAATGTATGTAAAATGAGGAATTACTGGAGGCACAAGTAGGGGCTGGAGGTTGGAAAGGGCTCAGGAGGGCAGAGGACCCCTAGGAGGGGGAAAATAGGGGATCCTGGGAGATGTGGGGGCAATAGAGGGAAGGCTTGGGGGGTGATGGGGTGCAGGATGTGGTGTGGTTTCGGAGCGGAGCGATGGTGGGGATGGGGTGTGATAAGGTGTGGTGTGGGGGTGTGATAAGGTGCAGGAGTGTGAGGGGAAGAAGGGGGTGAGGGGACGCAGGGGGGGTTATGGGGGTACAGGAGGGTGGGATGGGCTGCAGGGCTGCTTTGGGGAAGGATGCCGCTGTGTGACGGGGCTGCAGGAAGCGGGGTGGGCGCATAGCGGGTGGTGGAGTCGGTTTTGGGCAGAGGGAGGGAAATGGGGCAGGAGGAGGGGAAGGGCAGCCCAGAGCGCAGCGGGGCTGCAGAAAACGGGGATAGCGGAGGAGAGGGGGCTCGGGGTGAGGAGAAGGGGAGGGGACAGGAGGGAGAGCAGCAGCAGAGGGAGGAGGAGGAGGAGGAGGAGGAGGAGGAAGTCGGGGCCGAGCCGCTTCCTGTAGGCAGAGGGATGAGCGCAGACAAAGCTGGGTGGGGACTCGCCGCTCCGGGCTGCTGCTGACCGCCCCTCTGCCTCCAGCCCTCATCCCTTCTCCATCCATCCCTCCATCCATCCCTCCATCCGTCCGTCCGTCCGACCGCCGCCGCCCCGCTGGGAGAGCAGGGGCAGCACCGCCCGCAGGTACGGGGAGAGCCGGGGGGCAACGGGAGCGGGGCTGGGGGGCAGCGGGCGCGCACGGAGCGCGCACATCTGGGCGATCCCATGGCAGCGCCATCCTTCGCGGCCCAAACCGCTTCCTGATTATTGTCCCCCAAAAGGCGATCCTCCCACCCCGACCCCGGCTTTCATCACCCCGTCATTGCTCGCGTTGGATGCCCCGCGGGGACCCCGGCACCCCGCACAGCCCGTAGCCCCAACACGGATGGGTGCTGCAGGGCTGGTGCTGCCCCAGCGCTCAGCCCCCAGCAAAGCTCAACGGGGGCTGATCCTCACTTAATCAACTGATTTGCCATCACATGAACGGCTTTTTCTCGGGATGAATAAGACGTAGTGTTCTCCTTTTTATTTTTTTTTCTCCCTCTCCCACCCCCTGCAAAGGGCTTTCCCTGCCCCAAATCCCTCTGGCTGGGATGGATCTGCCCCCGGCACGGCTTAAGGAGGGGGTATTTGGGGTGCCCCATCCCCACCTGCTGCCCCACCCCACCACCCCCATTCTCTCAATGGCTGGGATTTCAATGGGAGTTCGGATTTTCCCCGCTGTGGCCATGCAGCAGGAAGCAGCACAGATCGTGCAAGGTTGCAGGAAAAGTAACCATGGCAAAGGCACCGTGTGCCCAGGCAGCTCCCTGCTGTGCCCAGGGACTGGGGAGTCGTAGAATAGAATCATAAAAATGGTCCGAGGTCCCCTGTGCCAGAGGGAGAGGAATCCAGCCCCAAACTTGAATCTTCTTGCAGGAAAATGGATTTCTAACGAAGGAAAAACTTGAATCTCAGCTCCCCACTTATGAGTCTCTGATAAACTCAGGGTGTGCTGCCCCAGTGGTAATGGGGGTGGGAGCACAGGGCAGCGCTGTGCCCCGTCGTCGTAGCCTTGTGTGCAATGCTTGTGGCTTTGCTCTACTGTTTGTTTCCCACTGGACAGACCCCAAATCCCCATTGCACCGCCTGGGGTCGGGGCATGTCCCCTTGGCATCAGGCTAGACCCAGGCAGGGGGATTTTTCCTCCTAACTGGATTTCCCTCCATGCAGCTGGAGGCTGCGATGCTAATCCTCTTTTCTGCCATATGGCCGCTGGCTGGATTGAAATATGACTCAATTAATTATTGCCAGGAAAACCCCGGGGTGAAGTCTTTCTCCAGGAGGATGCTCAGAGGCTCTCCGGGCGTTGTTTTCCCACCCCATGCCACAGGCTATGGGGTCAGATTGTTCCCTTCCCACCCATTCTGGGGCTTTTCTTGCCATTTCCATCCCCTTGCTGCCTTATGCCACCTGTGACACAAGCACGGCGATCTCCCCCCCATCTGAATCCCAGCCCCAGGGGCTGGCATCGTGCTCCTTGGGGTCAGGGCACAGCATCCCAGAGCAATGCGGGCAGCGCTGCCGGAGAAACCCAATGATGAGGCTTGTTGCCAATCCCCAACCC